ATGAGATCAACAACTTTATTAACGGACCGCATTTTCGGGTGGAAGAGTTTGACCTGAAATAAATCTGGTGTTGTGGTTCCAGTAGTTCTTTGAGTTTGTTGTTTTGTCTTGTGTTGCATTTCTCATGACTCTGTAGAGGTGATCCTCAGTACTTTCTGTGTTTAAGACACGATTTTTGCTGGGCAATTTCCCCCTACTTTGGTTTCCTCCGCTTTTACAACGGAAACGGAGAGGGATGAGCCGGGATACGCAGGTACTGGCAGGGAAGGTCTTGAGGACAAGGAGTATTTGAGGAGGAATGTTTCGGTCCATTAACTCGCATACATTCCTTTTCAGCACCACAACTGGACTTCGTCAGTACGACAGTTGTAAATTACTGCAAATAGATGCTGGAAATAAATAGGATTAAGTGGGAGGATTTTCGTGTAATAAAAGAGAAAATTATGCGCTTCTTTACCTCAACCTTTACTTGTGCTGCCATTACCAATCTTTGTGTGTTTGTAATCCCTGTGTTCCTCATTACTTTTTATGCCTTTTTTTTTGCATCTGTGCAACGCAGGAGACGCATATTTTTTCATCTCGAGACCTACACAAGCTACAGGGCTGAAACTTTGGGAACTTAATCTACATGTATGTACGGTCCCCTATCTCCCAAATGGGCGCTCTTACCCGCTTGGCACCTGCGTACGAGCCCCCCAAAATTTCTACCGGGTAAGTTGCTAACTTGGGAACCTGACACCCACGCAGGTGTTAATGAGTTCGAACTCAGTTCCCAGGTATCCTATGTATGGGTCCGCGGAAGTTTTTTGCGGGCAAGTTGCTAAGCCGAAAACCAGGAAATCTAGAAATTTGAAACTTTACAGACAGTCCTTGGTGGCCAGTCTCAATTCTCTTAGCTAAATAGTATTTGCCGGAAAAGCCGGTGCCGTTAGCGACAAAAAACCAACTATGCGAAAAACGCATCTTCGCATCGGCAGTCAGTGTGCTGGCCATTTATTATTTGATGTTTATTCACACATGCGTGACATTTGTGACGAACAGGATTGTGGCGCTTTTTCAAAAACCGTTGAAAATTTCAGGTTTTGGAGCAACAGCGATGGTGAATCCGAAAGGTATCAGACGCGGTACGCGTTATATGTTTGCACGGCCATTCCGAAAGCACGGTATCGAGCCGCTCTCCACATTTTACCGCACTTATCGCCGTGGCGACATCGTCGATATCAAGGGTAACGGGGCCTTCCAGAAAGGCATGCCGTTCAAAGCCTATCATGGACGTACGGGGCGTGTGTTCAACGTGACCAAACATGCTGTTGGCGTACTGGTGAACAAACGTGTCAGGTACTGTTTCAGTTCCGGTTCTTATTATTTTTTGCCTTTTGCTCTGTTACAGTCTTTTTTATAGGCATAAAATATCTAAATTTAATTACCACTAAGGCAAATTTAGATTGCTTTTTTTGGGAAAAGATATCGTATCCAGGTGTTGGCTTGGAGCCTTGGAGGTCTGGTTCGCTGGCCCGGTGCTCCGGCATCTCTCCAGATCATTGGTTGGGTCTTCGATTCCTTGGTGATTGTGATTCGGACTAGAAGGACCCGTGTCTTTCGTTGGTCATCGGGGCCGTCAGCACAACACATCACGCAATTAAAACAGAAACAGCGGCTTTATATAGGCAGCTTCGCGCCGTTATACATGCCCTGCCCTTTCAAATACTACCAGCAAATCCAAGTTGCCTAGCATAACCCGGTGGCATTTCACGTACGTTTGAGCGGCCTAACATATAGGTTATCTCAGGAAAAACACAAGGAATTCAAAATGCAGATAACTTGTGCTCAGATGTCCACGGTGCCGAGCCGTACAGAATGTCTACTGTCAGAGGCCCGTTACTTGGACAAGTCGCTCCACCCCCACCACTGGTGCGTAGCGCTCCGCCCACTACCGGTGGGGCGACATGCACGTGTAATGGGCAGGTTATTGTAACACTGTTCGAACGTCGGCGCCCGCACCGACGTTTTCGGCCAATCTCAGCGGAGTCTTGCTCTGCATTTCAGGCGATCACGTGGATCGCTGGAATGTCAGTACGAGATGTTTTCTGTTTACTTTTTCATGTAAACATGATGCAATTTTTTTACTTTTTTTCAGGAATCGTATCATTCAGAAGCGCATAAATGTGCGTGTTGAGCATGTGAAACCGTC